TCTCGTAAAACATAGTTCTCCAAAAATGGTCAGAACAATACAAGCAACATATATTATAGTAAAAAATGACTGCTCTTTCAGTTTTTATCAGTATTATCCATTAAATGGTATTTTAAGAAAACATCGAAATACCTCATTAACAGAAGGTTCCATAAACTGAACCAGGTATAGAAAAGACACTTGTCAAGTGCCATTATCTATAGCTCATCAGCAGCAGCACCACCACCAAATCTTAATATTGCTGTAGTCTTATTAAAAGAAATAAATTATTATATTGACCTGAAAACCATTCAATGTGGATGCATTTGGTCTGTGCACTTACATGATACACCAAAGCTGGTTCCTAGTTAAACTCTCGAGCCCTTCAGTACATGGGTTATTAGAGGTGAATAATGTGGATTTAAAGGATTTAGTAATTCATTCTAAATCTCCCACTACATTTTTAGCTGTTGTTTTGCGTTAAAAACCTTTTAAACATGGGAGCACCTGCTGCTTTATAGAATACTCATCTTACCAAGATCACAGGGATAATCTGTTTAGTCCAGATTAGAGAAGCAGTGATAAAATAATAATCCAGAGCCCTTGGAATTGATTTCCAGTGATAGTTCTAAGATAAGAAACATATATATTATTGATATTTCTGAAAAACATAGACTTTGCACGGTTGTTTATCATTTTCTCAGAATGAGTAGAACTGCTTAGTAAAGTACTACATCTGTTCAGTTTATTTATGAGATTGTTAGATTACAGTTTTGATGTCTTAGACTTCTGAGTATACTCATGAAAAAGCATTGGCTTTGAAATACTATATACCTGGATTTATATTACATTATTTAGGGCTACTCATGTTGGATTTCACATACCATATGAAAAGGTTAATCTTGCAGATAGCCTTCCCCAAGATAACGTATTCCAGATGTTTTGATTACAATTTAAGCATGATTGGCGACTGTTTTTGGATTACTGTTACCTAAAACATATGGAAGGCATTTCATTATAAATATTGATCTAATGTCTGATACACTGACCTAATGTTTGCTACACTATAAGTACTGTTTTAAAAAAAATAGACATCTAATTCATCTACTTTCTGTCAAGTCCCAAAGACAGAGAAGTCGACAATCAGTGGGTGGTGTATATATACTAGTAGTGTGATTGTACTTTTCCACTAGGCACAGCATCACCTTTATTTTTTTGTCTTGGATGTTACCATTTAATTCTTACCAACACTGTTTTTCTGGCAGAACCCTCTGGAGGAATATCATATCTCATGAATTCTATGAACCAGTTATAACCACTCAGTTAAATTTTCTTGAAGAGCTTATGAATCATACTTTATATATGAATGTACCCAGGGATGGCCAAAGTACCACCCTTACACAAACCATGTAGGAAATGCATATAAGCCATGCCTGTCACCATTAAACAAAAGCAGTTTTTATCAGGGTGAACTTTCATGAAATTATTAGGCTGGAATTATTACTATTTTAGCAGTGAACTGAAATAATTTTAATCTGTTGTTATAAACAAGGGAAAGTTAGACATAACTAAAGTGCTAGATCCTATCATTTTGATAAACAGAATTAGTCAAGGAAGTAAATGACAGGGCACTATTGCTTTTGTTCCGCCAACATGAAATCTATTCCCTTTGTTAATAGTTTAGTCTTGTGGTCATAGAGACACTATAATGCAGTGGTTCTCAACCTGTGGGTTCCCAGATGTTTTGGCCTACAACTCCCAGAAATCCCAGCCAGTTTACCAAATGTATTGTCGAAGGCTTTCATGACTGGAATCACTGGGTTGTTGTAGGTTTTTCTGGGCAATATGGCAATGTTCTAGAGGCATTTTCTCGTGACGTTTCACCTGCATCTATGGCAAGCATCCTCATTCTACCTCTGAGGATGCTTGCCATAGATGCAGGCGAAATGTCACGAGAAAATGCCTCTAGAACATGGCCATATAGCTCGGAAAAGCCTACAACAACCCAGTTTACCAGATGTTAGCATTTCTGGAGAACCACTGCTATAATGTAATCTTAAGATGTTTATGGTATTTCACTGCATCAAACATAGTCATAAACCCTCACTGTATACTAAGTTTGAGCGAGAATCCGTTTTTAGCAATTTCCTTCGGTCAATCCAGCTTCTTCGGCTTTTTTGGCTGCCTGTAACAGCAAGGGCTGTCACAGATTACCGTCCATAACAGGGCCACGTGGCAGCTGATCTCGGCTCCTCCTGCCCTATTTGGCACCACAGTTTAATCTTTTTGAATTTCATTTTATTTTCTTGGTTTTTTATTTAATTTTAGTGGAACTGACTGGGAGTTGGGGACAGGTGGGTGGGGTGCACATGCACATTTGGAGGCTTGGGAGAGTCACACTTTTAGTTTTTTCCCCCTCATTTCCTTCCTCTCCTTCAGATACTTCTAAAATAAAATAATAATAGTTATTAATCTCATCAAACAAAAAGAAAACCCTCATTCTCTGAAAACTACTACCACTTAGTTACCTACTTTCTATTCCTCTAGAGTAGAAAGTAAAAACTGCTTTAAGGAAGCATTAAACTCGAAGCAGAAAGGAGATAGAAGTGTGCCTACTCCATACAGGGCCTGCAGTAGAGAAAAAAGATGGTTTTTTTTTTTTAATAAAGAAAGCCCAGGGAGATAGCTCCAGGTTGATCACTTTTCCTTCCCTGGGCCTCCGTAAAATGCCTTGGAAAGCTGTGTGATGTCTGTAAGGAGAGTGCCTCTCCTCTAGAGTAGAAACAGTTTTAACAAATGCCAGTGTGTCTTGTGTTCTGTTTGTGTGAACATATAACTGCTCAAGACATAGGGCTCTTTGGAGATTAGCTATAATATTGGGCACTGTGCTGGCTGATTTGGTTATTGTCCCATTTAATGCAGTTCTAAGGTGCTTTCTGTTTCTGCTACCAAAATAGAAAATTCTAATTGGATCATAATCCCTAAAGTATATACTGTATGGTGCCAAATGAATTTGCTTGTGATTCCCTTGTGAATGATGTCTGTTATACATCAAGTAAGCTCCATTTTAGTGGTAGATTTCCCCATGTTCTATCTTTTGTTGGTGTTCTTTGCAGGGCAATACTGAAAAAACTGAAACTCAAACATTCTTGGTTTATCACTACATATATAAATTTTATATAATGGAATAGTGATGTGTTACAGCTTCCAGTATGTAGCATCTTGATTCTATATTTGTATCTTTGAATGGTGACACTTCTAAACAGGTCAATGAAAATACATGATATTATCGGATTTAGTTATCCAAGAGTATTTAGGAAAGTATGCCAGACCTGTTTAACTTTATAATTCAAAATGTGCCATATCTCTTGTTGAAAATAACTGCATAATGTTCTCTTAACAAATGAACATCTGCTAACTTCACAGTATATTACCCTTTCATTTCTTATATCTGTTTTTTAGTTTCCATTTCTTTTTATTCATTTATTGCAAAGGAGATTGAATGTTTATTTCTAGTTTCACATATATCAGATATAGTGAAAACATTTAAAATTAATTTTCTTTTCATGTGACGTTTAAGAGCTGATAGAATAAAGTATGAAATTGACATATAGTTCAGATCTCAAATCTACAGACAGTTCCCAAGTTACAAACAAGATAGGTTCTGTAGGTTTGTTCTTTAGTCGAGTTTGTATGAAAGTTGGAACATGTACATTTTTAAGTACAACTCCAGCCACATATACGTAAGCTTTGGATAGCACAGGGAAGGGTTACAATTGATAATTCTTGCTGTCCTCTCCAGCTCCAACTGTAAAGAAGGATGGACAGGGCAGCAGTTGTTTCAGTAGAGGACTACCTGTTGCAAAAAATGGTAGATAGTAAAGCATTTCAAATGTATTTTCTTGATTTTGGTCTATAGCACCTTCATATTCGAGGGGGTGGGGAAGCATTTTTGTGTTTTGTTTTATTTCAACTTTACATTCTGTGAAACAATCTCGTGTGTTCAAATTTCATAGTATTTCTCTTTTCTAATGTGAATACATTAAGATACTAGTCCTTTATAGGAGGTTTTTGTGATTGCTTTCATGTGGGAAATTAGTCAATTGACTAAACTTACTTGCCTGTTAAGAAAATGAGGAGTGGTCACCACATATTTTGGATATCTACATATTTACTGCACAAAGGAATACTTCTAAAATACCTATAGCATCATATTGTGTCCATCTGATAACTCACCATCGTGAAGATTTGAGAAGGGTTCAGTTTGAAAATATAGAATTGAGTGCATTGCATAATTTTCTTTCGTCTTTTATCTGCTTGTGTTGCTCCTTCTGTTATATGTGTCATTGCACTAGTCCAGAAGTTCTTGGAGTTGCATCTTGACCAGGTGTAAAAATATTCTAAATATATTATTTCATTTACTTTGAATTTTACCTGTCACAATTTTAAGCATGAGGGTTTTTAAAAACTGTAATGTTTTGTTCCAGGCTAATTTTCTGAAGGAATTATGTGCATTTTTTTCTGAGGCAGGAGTGCAGAGCTTTCATTGGATTCCTTTAAATTGTTCTTGAACTAGGCCTGTCATCACCAAATGAAGGGAGGGAGAGGCAGGGGAATCTGTGAGGAAGATGCAAGGGCTCATGTATACTATGCGGACTAGACAACTACTTTGTTTTCATCAAGTTAAGAAATAAATGCCTCTGTTTAGACTAGAGTAAACATGTTCATTTCTGAGAGCCTTCTCAACTCATTTTTACCTTACAGAAGGCATTAACCACCAGGTTTAGACATTAACTGCAGGACTAATGTTCTTATAATGTTGATCATGTAACATTATTATTTTACAGAACTATTCTATATATTCCTAGAGGAGTTTAAAAAAAGATTTTTCCTCATCTGAAGCTCTAAATCAGAACAAATTGCTTTTTATATTGGGTCATCATCATCCTGAGTGCTCTCTGAATATGTGTGCCATATTTGAATAAAAATAAGATTGTCCTTTTCTTTCTTTTAATTTTCAGTTTAACTTTGTTGGAAGAATTCTTGGACCCAGAGGATTAACAGCTAAACAGCTTGAGGCTGAAACGGGATGTAAGATAATGGTCAGAGGCAAAGGGTCCATGAGAGACAAGAAGAAGGTAAGATCCCTCAAGGGTGCCAGCTGTTCATCTGACAACCTTGTTTGTAAAATAATAGATTTCTTTCTAAGGCACAATATTATGAAGATAATAACATTTTGCAAAGAATGACTATTTATTTATGTTTATCTAGATGTATTTTGTGGAAATAGAAATAAGCTTTTAGCTTTGGTTACAAAGAAATTCTGTATGTTTGGTTGATGAGACTCTTTTCAAAATCTTGTTGGGCTTTTTCAAAAAGGCCTACAAAATATTGGTTCCTTTCTCTTCTCCAATAGCTTTAGAGATACTTAATTTGGGACAATGAGGAAAGTGGTTCAATGACATTTCTAAAACACAGCTTTTTATTGTGTAGGGAAACTTTACTAAATAATATTACACTATAGGATGTGTACAATAATATTTAAATAAAGAGTAAACAGGGTACTCTTTATTGTTATTGTTGTTGTTCTGTGTCCTTCTAGTCATTTCCAGCGTACAGCAACCCTAAGATGAACATACCTTGGCGTTCTCTTGGCAAGGTTTGTTCAGAGGGGAGTAGCTTTTGTCTTCCTCTGAAGCTGCCAACCATAGGAACTGATTTTTTGCGTATGTTAAATTGTATCTTCCTTGTGCTAAAGGGAATATAGTACACATTTAATAACTTCCAAATGGATGTATTTTGAAATCATGTTACACTGGTGCCTAATATATATGAGAATCATAGATACTGAGAGAATTAGCATGGATAGTAATTGGTTTATAGCAGGGGTCCTCAAACTACGGCCCGAGGGCCGGATACGGCCCTCCAAGGTCATTTACCCGGCCCTCGATCAGGGTCAACCTAAGTCTGAAACAACTTGAAAGCACAAAACAACAACAATCCTTTCTCATCAGCCAAAAGTAGGTCCACAATTCCCATTGAAATTCTAATAATTTTATATTTGTTGAAATTGTTCTTTATTTTAATCATTGTATTGTTTTTAAGTGTTTTCTGCACTACAAATAAGATATGTGCACTGTGCATAGGGATTCATTCATGTTTTTTCAAATTATAATCTGGCCCTCCAACAGTTTGAGGGACTGTGACCTGGCCCTCTGTTTAAAAAGTTTGTGGACCCCTGGTTTATAGTGTTATTTACTTGCATATTTCTGTGCAGAAGTTACTTTGTCTATAATAGTTGGCAACATTCTGCATCAAATATAGATGTTTCATACTTCCATAGTGATATTAAAGGAATGAAATCCTATATATCTCACCAAAGAGATATAGAAAATTTCTTTTTACATGTCCTTTGGAAATCAGGAAGTAAACATGAGACTTGATCAACATTCTCACTCATTGCTCGCTAATGATATCCAGAGTCACCCACAGTACCTAGTTTACAGAAGGAATTTGTATGGTGGGTCACTGACAAATTAATAATAATAATAATAATAATATTTATACCCTGCTTTATCTCTCCCAATTTAAAATATACAAATATGCAAAAATTAAAACAGTATTAAATATAAACATATTAAACATTTTACAATTTAAAACCATCTAAATATATTCAAAGTTAAAAACCACAGCACCCCCTGATTTGCTTGATCTTTAAAATATGTCTGGACACAACATACTTGCTTCCCTTTAAAAAATGTTCTGTTTCCTCCCAATGTATAAAGTAGTACAGTGTGCTGAGAAGAAAGTATAGAGCCTTAAATTGTGATTTATCTAAAGCGGTTTAGTGTCCTTTATTTCAAAGCTAACCAACTGGTGCATGGTTTAACCAGTAACCTAATCCACTGATTGGATTCAAATCTTATTATTAAACACTGATCATGTATTGTTTGTTGTTAGTTTCAGATTAAGGGATGAAGGACATGATTTGTTTCATAGTTAGTTAATTCGGAGATTTTTAAAGTCTTAAATGTTTTCAAGAGGATTATTCAATTAGTCATAATGGTGAAATAGAGTAAAAAGAGATGCTAAATGAAGTAATGCAAACTAAATTCTATTTATTTGTATGTTGTCTCTAAATATAAACATATTTAATATAAACATTACTCTGGGATGATTTTCATATAATTTCAGTGTTCTGAAATAAAGACTATCATAGAACATCTTGTTTGATAAGCAAGGGCTGTTTAGCAGCAAGACAGAAGATAAAATGGACCACAGTCAAAATGTGAGAGCATCTACAAAGAGTTGGAATCCCATTAGCTAGTAGCCTTTCAACTGTCAACTGTCTTGGTTTTGTCAGTCTCATCTATCATTGCACTGCTCCAAATCATCTCAGAGACTGATCTGCACTCAGTGTAACAGATCCTTGTCAGAAAAGTTAGCATCCTAGCCTTCCTAATAGCAGCATCTCATGACAAGCCATGCCGAGCACAGAGTTATTGTACTGATATAAACCAGCATTTACTAGAAAATAAATCCCACAGCAAGATAGTTCTAACATTAAACAGGATTAAGCTATAATCATTAATCCTGATGCACTTCTACTACATGTCTTACCAGGTGTTTATGTGACCAGTTCTCCTAGTTGTAATGAACTAACCTATGTCAAGGGTTTTGTTTAAGGTCATAGTCAGTCATTAGCCTGCCTCTTGCTGTTAAGGTTAGGAACAACATATTGGTGCAATTATGATTTACATCCTGAAGTAGAGACAAACATACAGTGCAAAAGATATATCCTTCTCCTTGTAGTTTAAAACACTGTGGAATCTAGAAGGAAGGTGAGGAAGAGAGTTAGTCTATCAGTCCATCCTAGCAAAGTTAAATAAGGAAAGCTATGTTAAGTGCATAGTTTGGAAGGAAAGAAAGCAAATTGAGATTATGGCAAAAGTAGTTTAAAAGGTTGGTTCTTTCTGGAGGAAGTAGCTACCCCCATCCTAATAACCATATTCATAATTACTATTTATTTATTTATATAGCACCACCAATGTACATGGCACTTTACAAACAAAACAACTAAAAACAATTGATCCTGCCAAAGATTTACGATCTAAAATATGCATACAAAATATGTTTATACACACACACACACAATGGAAGGAATAAATATAAAACTACTTTAATTTCAGATTGTTGGTTTTCTTTGCATTGAAATAAGAACACATACAAACACAGAAAGAGAAACCAGATCAAATCTGAGAAGTGAGATGAGTTATGTTTTCTCTCCCCATCCTGTACAATTTATTTGTGGCGTGTGCCATGTGTTTCAGCCAGAAACATATATAAAGCAATCATTAGTAGAGGAAAATACAAATATAAATGTCCCTAATATTGCAGACCTATAGGAATAAGTAAACTTAGATAATATGCAGAATTTTCTAATCAACACAGCCATTAGAAATTGAGATTTATCTGCCAATCCCCCATTGTAGCGACCTGGTGCCATATAATCCAGAATATCAAGGCAAATAATCTATAATATCTGCTTTGAACTGGATTATCTGAGTCCACATTGGCATATAACCCAGTTCAAAGCTGATAATGTGGGATTTTATACAGCTGTGTGGAAGGGACCTTGCCTTTAAGAGGACAGTAAAGATGGAGAAACAGAGGACCTGGGAGTCTTTCTCAAGCGGCCACAAAACTATGTGGTTAATGATAATCAAGGGCCCCTGGATTACATGGGCCCTTGATCATAATTATGTTAATTGGAGTAAATTATGTATCATGTGAATGCATACTGTGGAACAAAAGATAATTCATCAAAATGTTTGAGAAGAGCGATCACAGTGCTATCAATTCCTAATACATATAAGTGTAAAGTTGCCCAGAGATGTCGAGCACAGACACATTTGCTTTTAGTAGAGTTAAGTTCTCAAATATTCTCATATATAAAGGGACTAGTAAAAGATTCTAGTTCGTAACTATTTTATATGTGATCTGGGATTCAGGGCAACCTGCATATTAAAAATATCACAACAAAAACATACCAGGGGTATTAAAAGAACTGGCAATAGCAAACCTCAGAATCACTAGCAATAATCTTTAAAAAGTGTTTGAAAACAAAGAAAAGTCCCAACAGATCTTGTCTATCATCAAAAAGGGGGGAAAGGAGACCCAAACAATCACATCTCATGTTTTAGAGAGGAAGAAAAGTTGTGCCTAACCATAATGGGTTGATCATCCCAAACTAATAAAATGTGGGCTAAACTATACTACTTTTCCTCTTCTTCCTGGAAAGAAGTGAGTAGTAGATGACACAGGGTTCTGTCCAGAGGCTGAACATCACTGGATGTTCAGCCTTTTTAGTAATGACTTGGATGAAAGTTTAGAGCAGGCATGGGTAAACTTTCTAATTTGTGGGCTGCATGGCCTCATGTCATCTCCCTGCCTTTTCCTGAAGGAAAGATGAGAAATGTTTGAATCCTAAAAGGGTTGTTCTTGGTCAAGATGAGATGTTGGACGGGAGAGAAAAAGTATACCCATTATACCCCATATTGCCTACTCCTGATATAGAATGCTAGAAACCTAGAGCTGTAAGAGACCCCCAAGGGCCATCCAGTCCAACCCACTGCCATCCAAGAAGACAAAATCAAAGCACCCCTTGATACCAGCCTCTGTGGAAAAGCCTCCAGAGAAGGAGACTGCATCACACTCGGGGGCAGCCTGTGCCACTCTCCAACAGCTCTTACTCTCAGGAAGTTCTTCCAAATCTTCTCAGTCGAATCTTTTGCCTTGCTATTTGAACCCATTGTTCCCTTGTGTCGTGGTCTCTAGAACAGCAGAAAGTCAAGACTTCCCCATCTCCTCTTCAAGGGGATACCCTTTTAAATCTTGAAACATGGTTCTCATGTTCCCCCTCAACCTTCTTTTCTCCCAACTAAATCCCCCAGGAGGAAGGAAAAAGAGAAGGAAGGGAGGAATAGAAGGATGGAAGGGAATGGAGGGAGGGGAGGAAAGAGAGAAGGAAGGAAAGACCAAAGGGAAGGAAAGATGGAAGGAGAGAGGGAGGGAGAAAAGGAAGGAAGGAGATAGAGAGGAAAGGAGGTAGGAAAAAAGGAAGGAAGGAAGGATGAAA